GCATATAAGCCATGAATATTAGGATATTCCGTTAAACCAAACACACTTAGGCCGATAACGGTTCTTTTGGAATCTTGCGTGTAAACCAAATACATGCATATAAGTTAAATATAACAGCCATTAAACAAATATCAGTTTTATATAGGTGTTGTTAAAAAGAAAATTTGACTTTCTTTGGAAGTACTAACTTTTGTTCATATTATAATTTGCAAGAAGAAGAGTAGAAGTTGAAATAGATAAGGGTTTAAGGTCTATAAACATACCACTAATGCAATCCAAGTGGAATACATGAAAGATGAGCAAACCTACCTTTTTTTTTTCAAAGTGACTAAAGAAGACTTATGGTGCAGTGAGTGTATGTGCCAACGACAACACTACCACTTTTTCTAAAGTCAACCCTTTAATTCTATATGATTCATTCGCAATGGCTCTTAAAATGTTCTAAGAAAAATGTTGTTGTCTCGTGTGATAGTAGTTTTTGATGAATTTATAAAAACTATACGAGTCCTCGAAATTAGGGGCTATTTCGCCATTGAAGTCGTTGTCATTGTGTTATTTCCCAAAAACCTGAAAAAATGGTAAAAATACTAGCATTTCTAAAATAATAAAAGTTGATGATATTTAAAAAAAAAAAATAATTAGATTTATTGATCTAAACTATTCATTAATATTCTACAAAATTTACAATGTGGCGTGAATATCGTAGTTGACAAAAGAGGAGGGTCTCTCACACCATCGAGCGAGGAGCACAAATTGCAGAAAAAAATCGTAAAACAAAAGAAAACGACGTCTATAAAAATAAAGAAAAATAACTTGTTTGTGCGTTAATCTGATGCGCAACGATTGATTGATTTACAAAGATTGATTTTTTTTTAAAAACAAATTCACTATTGTTGGATCACTTAATTTTGAGATTTTTGTTTATGCGTTTATATAGGGACTTGCATCAATACCAAATGAAATTCTCATATATGAAATTAGTCGAGTGTTGCAACAATCCGGACATTCGGTGTTATTAATAAATAAATAAAAACACAATTCATATAAAATTAACAATACGTTATTAAAAATTCATACAACTCTAGCTAGCTCAACCAATCCCAATTTAGCAATTACAATATCATTAGCTAGTTATTGGTCTATTTCTTCTTCTCCTTTTTTTTTTATTGTCTAAGTCCGTTGGTCGAGTTATGACAATAAGTGTACATAACTTATCACTGATAAGCTAGCATTATTTCTTGTTTGGTTAATTAATTGGATCTTGGATCCATAAAATATCATTACGACAAGGACAAGAACCGTAATATCATGTGTAAGAACATTAATCTTACACATGTCGCCAGTGTTCGAACTAAAAGACCTGTCCGACTTCTTTCTTTTGGGTCAGGTTGATCAACAGTTAAATACTCCTTCATCCCAAATAAAAATTTATGTATCCGATTGTTCCACCAAACTCTTTTTCTTATACATAAATATATATATGATGTTTTTTACTTTGATGCATGAGGTCATTTTGACATCGATATAGAGTCATCATTCATCACCGATTCATCATCAACATTTTTGGGCATTAAGTGGGACACTTAAACCTACTTTTCTTTTGATAGTCTATTTGGCTTATACGGTGTTGATTAAGATATCATTCATTTAGTTAGGCATCAAGTGTGTGATTACGTGTGATTAATATATCATTCATTTGTCAAATTCAAGATGATAAAACTAAAATGTTATAGTATTTCAA